TACAGATGCCACAGGCGCAACAGGTGCAGGTGAGCGCTGCTGCAGCCGCGCAGCAACAGCAAACGCAACAGGCTGCCGCTCTAATGGCAGCTGCGTCAGTAGCCGCAGCCAACTACCAACATGCCCATTTGACCCAGCAACAACGCACAGAAGCCAGTGCGGCTGCGGCCGCTGTAGCCGGACTTTCGCTCGAACAAGCGGCCACCCACCACCTGGATCCCCATCAAGGCCATCAGGCGGCTGTGGCTACGCCACCGACACATCATAATCAGCTGCAGGCAGCACCAATACACATAACCTCAATGTCGGCCGTTGCGGCTGCAGCCGCGCATCATTTGCGCACTACCGCCACCGCAGCTGTCTCGCAAATGTCTGCGGCGCCCCAGCCGATTCTTGTCTCAACAGAAGTAAGATATTTTAAAAATATAGATGCTAAGTTTCAAATAAAATGTGCTTAATTTTCTTGGTCACAGAGACGTGTTTTCCCACCTCACCGTCGCATTACTCGTTTCTGGCCGGCAAACCATCCACATGGACCACACCGGCATATGCTTCCACCACAGGCGTTGGGTCCGCACCAAGCGACTCCTGTGCAGATTCAAACAACAACGGGAATCATAAACCCGGGCTTTTTACTTAATTTCCTGTAAATATACATACATATTTGCGCTCACCATTTCAAATAAGAAAAGTGAAATCGTTCTTTTTTTTTTATACAGAGCTATGTTCCCGCTCTCGCCATATAATCAGCATGAGTTGAACTCTCCAGACTCCAATGAGACGGAAAATTACGAGGCGTTGCTTAGTTTGGCCGAACGTTTGGGCGAGGCAAAGCCACGTGGCTTGGCGCGGAATGAAATCGACCAGTTGCCAAATTATAAATACAATCCTGATACTCATAACGGTGAGTAAAAACAATTAAATCGAATGCAGTGGCTTCGTTTGTGTCTTTAACTTATTTAAGGATACACAGCCTGAAAGTTGGTTGCTGAAAGTAATTTTTTGAATAAAGAAATTCTACTCTTGTAATTTCCGTAAACTCCTGAGCAGTTTAAAGTTGCATGCGTTAGCTTATCCGCTAGAATTATCGAGACACAGTTCCGTCTTTACCCTGGGAAAGCCTCTATGATCAGATTACGCTATGCAGACGTCTTAACCGACTCCAATCGAGACCAAAATTTGCATGTGATATCTTCGACTATAGTAGTACCAATTGGGTATTAAATAAAAAAAAATTAATTTAAATTTTTTTAGTCTCTCTAAGGACTACCCTAATGCACATACAGGCATACATAGCTTTTCAACGCTTTTAAATCATTGTGGTGTCTCTTTCCCCCTTCACATTATACGTGAAACCTGATTCCAATGTGTCTATAACAACTGAATAACATTTAAAGTCCGATTTTTAAATAAAACTTGGTTTTTACGAAAGCGTGCTCTATGTGGGCCTATGAGCGTTCGCCCGGAAGTAGGGTCTAGCGTTGGAACTTTTAGTTGATTTCGATGATCGAATCATTCAAGTGAACTAATTCATTTAGTTCATTCGCGTTCATTTAGTTCACAGTTTACAATAGTGAATCCGGGCAACAAAATACAACATTTTATTTAGAATAACATTCAAAGATAACATAAATATTAGCTTTCTTATAAGCAATTCACTATATGTAGGCTTTGTAACAATTCATGGCAATGTAATTAGCAACCTATAGCTTTTACAATATTCACAAATAATTTAAAATGTAGCTTTTTTTCGTTGATATTTTGAAAATGGCAACCTGTAGCAAATAGTTAATTTTAAATTTCGAACTAGTTCGTTCGATCAATGCAATTTCCTATTTCATTCAACGAATTAGTTCGTGGACTTCTCAACTCTAGTTGGGCCTTCGTATATCTGACCAAGGTCACTCCAGAATCATTCCCAGTTAGGGTTGCCAGATCCAAATTATCATCCAACTGGACATTTGAATAAAATATCTGGACATGCACAAATAAAACCGCTGCATGTTTATGGACAAAAAAAAAGTAAAAATTTACATATTTATTATGTATTGATTTAGCCATCAATAAAAAGAAGAAAAATAAACGTATTAGAAATACAATTCATTTCATTTACAAATGAAAATATAATACCAGTCAAGTCTACTATATGTACCTTTGTGCTAGCGTAGCAATTTTTGTTATAATTCTTTTAGAACTTTTATCCTTCTGTCGAGGACTTCACGCTCTTAATTCAAACATTGCCAATCGAGACTATTACAGCTTAAACCATAAATTACGTTGTGAAGTACTGGTGAACACAGCTTATTATGCTAAGGATTTGTATGAAGTTTCCATGTGTTTTATAATAAATCAGTCAGAGTAGACATCCAGCAATCGAATGCAAGTGCTTTTCCGAAGCCAGAGTTCCGACTTGACAATATATGCATGTGAGCGCGTAACCGTATTTTTTTTTACCCAATCCCAGTGAGTCCCAGTGATTGTTTGCTAAACTTGTATGCTGTTACTACAACCACAATGTATCTATGAGTTTAGTAAGAGTTTAGTAAAAATTTTTTATTTTAAAAATTGTATGACAAAACGTATTTTCTTTTGGTTATGTTTTGAAAATAATTTTTTAATTGAAGTAAATCTAAGCACTATTTATTGCATGGTTAAATCAAGAGCCATTATCTAATAATATCTAATACATATTTTTAAACGAATTTGTTAAGTTTTGGTTTGTTTTATTATTGTTATTTTTTTCATTTGGGAACTATCAGCAATGTAAAGTGCTTTCCCCGCTACGTGGCACCAGAATTGTTTTTTGAAAATACCCGACTCACAGCGCCACGTAGTTGAAAATAAGCTTCTAATCGTGGTTCTTCTGAACTTTAGAAATAAAAGAGACCCATGCTTTGTATTTTGACGTTTTCGAATGCCAGAGTGCCAGGCCATTTGCTCAGTTTGGTGGATTCCTATAATGATTAAATCGATTTAGATTTTTTATTGAAATGTGGTACCAACATAAAGGCCCAATTAGAGGGTGGGGGTCGAGAGTTTTCCTAAAATTTACTTGGCAGATAAAAATTCTAATATTTTACATTGATGAATTTGATTATTTAATATCCCACATACACGCAACAAGTAAGTATGTAGTGATAACGTTGGAAATTCGTTTAAAAATTTCAATTTTTTTTTTTTGTAAGGGAGGAGGGTGGGCCGACACATGTTTAGTACCGTGACCGGAGTTTCCTTTACGGCCCTGCCTACATACATTTATTAAAAATGAAATGTGACTTGATAGCCTCAAAATTTTTATTTTTTTCAGTGTGTTAGAATAATTATTTTAAAGACATTTTTTCGAATATTCGGCCAACGATACCACCCGTAGTAGCTCGCTTGAAAATTAATTTTCACTGTGTGGACACTAAAAATCCTTTACAATTGAGACGTTCTGCTTCGATATTACTTGGATCCAAAAATAAAGCTTTACTTGGAGTAACAAACTCCGGCACGATTGCGCCCATTTTTGAAGATTCGAATCATTGATGTGAATATTCATCGTTATAATTTATTCATTCGACAAATCTTTTAGACGATTTTTTTTTTTTTAATTTAAATAATGGTGACTACATTCGGTGTCAAACATTGTTTGAAATACAACATTTAACTAAGAAATATTTGACTAAAACGAGTTATTGACTATTCAGTAGTAATCTTTAAAAGATGTATGAACAGTGGCCATATTTTTACAAAAAAGCAAGCTGAAAACAGCATATTTTCCGAGCAAAAATAATTCGAAAAAATACACATATATATGCACATTAGGGTGGCCCAAAAGTACACGTGAAAAAGTAAGGTCGGAATTTTTATGCTCTCACCCCCTAGGATTATTCTATACTGAAAAAATATACTCCTATTTTTTTATTATGCAATCAAAAAATATTTAAAGGTCGCTCAAAGCGCCCAATTTTCCATGTATTTTGTATGGGGAATAAAAACGTATTTTCGTAGAAATGGTATAGGTTTCTTAAAAATCAATATTTTTCTATCGGAGAACTCTGTTTCTCTGCAACAGATTCCCAATAATAATAATCAATTGTTTATTTAACCATTTTTTCATCGCTACTATAATCTATGGGTCCGCCAAAAACCCACAAGAACCCCGAAAACTTCAATGGGGGACCAATAAAAAATCGTTAGTATTAAAAATGGTTAAATAAACAATTGGGTATTATTATTGCAAGTCTCCTGAAGATAACCAAAGTTTACCGATCGAAAACTATCGATTTTCAAGAATTCTATACCATTTCGACGAAAAGTTGTTTTTTTCCATATAAAAATACATGGCGCTTTGAGCAACCTCTAAATATTTTTTGATTTCAAAATAAAAAAAATAGGGGTATACTTTTTTTTTGATATAGAACAATCCTACGGGGTCAGAGCATTACAATTCAGACTTTACTGTTTTTGGACCACCCTAATGTATATCCATATACAAATTCAAAATACTACAGTTATCCATTAAACCATTTTCACCCGTTATTTTCGCCCACAGGTGATCAAA